AGTATCTTTACTAGACAACAATCCACAACCAAGCAAAATGGACTGTCCATGGTGATTAACTCCGACAAATGGAGCAAATGACATGTCATATTTGTTCGTCAAATAAGTTGTGTCAAATGAAACAACATCTCCAAATGCTTCATAAGTCGCCCGATTCCTTGCATCAGCCCAAAACAAGTTTCTAATGCGAAACTCCTCATCAACATCAATCACATAAAAGAATCTCTCACTATGTGCTTGCATCCTCATAAAATAACTTTGAAGTGATTCGGCATCACCTTCCCCAAGCCTCAACCTTCTAGCTCTCTCAATGTAATTTCTTGCATCTCGCTCGTCAAATGTCAATGACTCGTATCCCCCCGCTTCAACAACCATTGAATGAAAGTTCCTAGACACCCCAATCCCTGCATAATCATTAATTTCTAATCTTCTCTTCACAAGAGTAAAAATTTTCTTATTCATTGCAAAATGACGTGAGTCGGTAGGAATCAAATCCTGATTATGCTCAAGGTTAACTGTGGTTAGTTTATATCTCCCATCCTTTTGTACACTACCTCGTACCCTTGCAGTGCAACCAATTTTTGTGGACAAACATGGCTTCAAAGGGTTGACTTTAGATGTCTTTTTTCTCTGCCCCGCTCGAGAACATTCAATTGCAAAGTTTAGCAATTGCCCATCATCTCTAAAATGTTGTGCTCTATGAGCTATAGAAAATCCAACATGCTTAGCATATTTGCCATAAAATGTGTACACCTCTTCCCTTGAGCTAAAACACATACCCTTTTTAGGTTCTTCAACGTGTTCGCCCTCATTTATTAAAGGATTCTCACCAACATTTGAATCAACCTCCATTATTTCTCCACTTTGCGTACTGAAATAACAATTAAACAAATATCATTTCCGTAACAATGCCCAAACAAAAATACTGTTTACAGATTATGGAACTAAACTTCATATTTCAGATTTTATATAAACTGTTTACAGATTATAGAACTACACTGTTTACAGATTATGGAACTATTCATAATTGTGAACCAAATTTCATATCTCACATTACTTATCTCACAAAATTACTTATCTCACATTACTTTTCATAATTGGAACTACATTGTTTACAGATTATGGAACTACACTGTTTACTTATCTCACAAAAATGTCTACAAATTACTCATATTCAGATTACAGATTATCTAACACTGCCCAAATTTCATATTTCATATTATATAACAATTACTCATAAAATAACCACAGTCAATCATAGGTCCAAAATGACAGATTATATTTCATATTATGTTTACAGATTATATTTCAGATTTCATAGGTCCAAAATGACAAATTGATTAGAATTAATTTCAGTAATTTACCTAAAGAAAGAAAAAAAAAAACAGTTTCTAAAAATGGAAATTAGGGGCATTAGGGGCAAATTTTTTAGGGCCACCAATCATTTTCCTTTACTCATAAAATAACCACAGTCAATAATAGGTCCAAAATGACAGATTATATTTCATATTATGTTTACAGATTATATTTCAGATTTCATAGGTCCAAAATGACAAATTGATTAGAATTAATTTCAGATTTCCTTCCTTGTACCGAATTTACAATTACCAGTAACTGTGTTTACACACAAGGAATGACAAATTGATAATATGTTTACTTCTACTTATTACCAGTAACTGTGTTTACACACAAGGAATGACAAAATGCATAATATGTTTACACATAAGGAATGACAAATTGATTAGAATTAATTTCAGTAATTTACCTAAAAAAAACAACTCTTGTCCAAAATGACAAATTGATTATAGTTTACAGATTATATTTCAGATTTCAGAATTAGCATATAACTGAAAGAGAACTCAAGTTGGATTACCATATGAAATTGATTTTTTACCTCATAAACCAGATTGATGGACAGAGATAGAGTAGAGCAAAACCAGACAGAGCAAAATTATAGGACTTCTGAGGATAGATGAGAGCGAGTAATCTGATATGGTAGAGGAGGAGGAAATTTCACATTCTTCTGAAGAAATGAGTTAACATCTGAGACCCACTTCCATAACCCATACGGAGAATTTCAATCCTTCTAAAGAAAGACTAGCCACTAGTTTTTGCAGAAATTCCCGGCGAGCTATGGTGGAGGAGGAGGATGGCGGCGAGAGGTCAGGATAGGCGAGGGAAGACAGACGAGGATAGACGACGATGGCGGCGAGAGTTGAGGACAGACAAGGGAAGACAGAAATTCCCACTTTTCCATTTTTTTTTATTTTTTATTTTTCCAGCTGTGTTTACACATCAGCTGTCACCTCATCACCATGTCACTGGGGGTCTGTAGTGGGATTGTATATATTATTGGAAAATGTTTTGGTCTCAAATTTTGTATCCTGAAATTTGTCAAGAATATGAGTGAAGGGTATAGATGAAAAGTTCGTATGATATCAACTATACTCATAATGAATCTCATCCACACAATTTGATTATGGGTAATTTTTTGGATTTTTGGATTTTTTGGATTTTTTGGATTTTTTTTTTTTTTTTTTTGAGGGGTTCATAGTATTTTTGTATCTTATTTAGTATATATGGCTGAATATGAGTCTCTAACATCGATTCACGGGACAAGTTTTTGAAGGAAGATTTAAAAAGCCCATTGGTCGGGCCATGAACCAGAGGCTTTTCTCAATAGAAGCCTTTTTTACATTGTATTTTCAAAACTAGGCCAACTTCTGACGGAATTCCAAAACTAAGCTAAAGCGCCATTACTATTCGCGCTTTTACTGTTAGAAGCGCAAAAGTAGATGAACAGCAAAATCGCTATTACAAATAGCGACTTTGATTAAGAAGTCGCTGCTACGAATAGCGCTTCTAGGGTTAATTTTTTTTCCAAGGAAAATGCTGTTAAAAACAGCGCTTTTTACACAAATTTTTTTGCGAAAAAAACGCTATTGCTAATAGCGCTTTCACTGTACATATAATTTTTTTTTTTATTTTTAGAAAACGTTATTTCAAATAACGTTTTTACTGTTGAGACATTCACCAAAACCAACCCACCTCTGACACACGCACACACCCACACACACCCAACCCACACTAAGCATTGCTTTTAATATAATTTTTATATATAATAATAAATTATATAATTTTTATAATTTTCGTAAATATAAATCATTTTTAGGTTATGGATGGTTTGATTTATAACACGTATATAAGGGTAAAAAATTTTGTAATCAAAAATAATTTTTGCAATTTTTATAATCAAAAATAATTTATAAATTACCAAAAATAATTTATAATACGTATGTATTATAAAAAAATTTATAATAATTTATAATACGTATGTATTATTTGAATCTTTACATTTTTTATTTAAAATTTTTCACAGTAAACCCATCTTCACATTTTATAATACGTATGTATTATTCAAAAATAATTTATAAAAATTTATAATTAATACGTATGTAAATAATTTAATACGTATCTTCACATTTACATTTACAGTAAACCCATCTTCACATTTACATACGTATGGTTTAAAGGTAAATTTTTTTATAAATGACTTAAATGATAAATCAAACCATCCATAACCTAAAAATGATTTATATTTACGAAAATTATAAAAATTATATAATTTATTATTATATATAAAAATTATATTAAAAGCAATGCTTAGTGTGGGTTGGGTGTGTGTGGGTGTGTGCGTGTGTCAGAGGTGGGTTGGTTTTGGTGAATGTCTTAACAGTAAAAACGTTATTTGAAATAACGTTTTCTAAAAAAAAAATAAAAAAATTATATGTACAGTGAAAGCGCTATTAGAAATAGTGTTTTTTTCGCAAAAAAAAATTTGTGTAAAAAGCGCTGTTCTTAACAGCGTTTTCCTTGGGAAAAAAATTAACCCTAGAAGCGCTATTCGTAACAGCGACTTCTTAATCAAAGTCGCTATTTGTAATAGCGATTTTGCTGTTCATCTACTTTTGCGCTCCTAACAGTAAAAGTGCGAATAGTAATGGCGCTTTAGCTTAGTTTTGGAATTCCGTCAGAAGTTGGCCTAGTTTTGGAAATACAATGTAAAAAAAGCTTATATTGGGAAAAGCCTCCATGAACCAGCCCACAGGCCTTACCCCCAGTCCAAGCCCAACCAGTATGTTTTAGAACGAGCCCAACCTATCCTCAGGCTTGGGCCGGCCCAAAAGCTTTTTGATGAGACTTCTATTATAAATGACCAGTGCTGCTCCATGCAACCGTAAGTTAACAAATCAAAGACTCCTTCCATTGATTTTGTTCACACACTTTATTTACAGTGTGTGCACAAATTGTCTCTAAACAAATCACAAATTATATTTATTATTTACCCACTTTGTCACATTATGTGAACAAAACCAAATTGCTTATGATACAGACTTTTAAAATGTTTGCATGAAAGCTACCTTAGTTGTCACTTTTCTCCTATTTGCAATATAAATTTCCAAATGGGATTACAATAAAGGTTTAAATAATGCATATTACTTTTCAAGGCTCCAATAGAGGAAAACCATATCTAGCACTTAGATTTAATTGTGTCATAAGATTCTTAGTTCTATCAAATTTTTTATTGTTTATATGTTGTCACATTGTCATTATTTAAAAATTAATTTTTGACTCATTACTTAAATCGCTTAATATTTAACATCTCTCATGTTCTTTCAAAATTATACATTCCAATGAAACGACTAATAAGAGAGGTTACTATTATTCAAATCTTAACTCATTTTAAAATGTAGAAATTATTAGACGAGTCTGCAATCACACACGATTGTGATAATGTTTATTGATATGCCTACATTATTGAACAGTTATATAACCAACACGATATTTTAAAAAAAGATAATCACTTCTAATCATGCTATGAACATAGAAACCAAACACAAATACATATAAATTGATCGGATTTTATAAAGTTTGTTAGTAAAATCCACTTTAAAAACCCTTATCCATTTATATATATTTTTTGTATCTGATTTTATAACGGTACACGTACTCAACCATGTATATAAGAAGTCAACCAAAATGGACAAACCAAGCCTTTTTGTCATAACATTCTAGAAATTAATGATGTCTGATGAATCTCATACATCTCTGCAACTACCCATTATAGATATCTCTCTGCCATTGCAATCACCATCTTCTCTCTCATCTCTCTCTCAAGCCTGCAAAGAATGGGGTTTCTTCCTCATATCCGACCATGGAGTTTCCAAAGAACTATACAACAAAGTTAGATCACTATCTGAATACCTTTTTAGCCTTCCTGTTGAGACAAAAACAAAGCTTGGTCCTTTGTCTAGTGTAAAAACATACACTCCTCATTGCATTGCCTCTGCTTTCTTTGAGAGCCTTAGGGTCTCTGGACCAGACTTTGCTGCCTCTGCTCAGAGCTCTGCAGATGTTCTCTTTCAGCACCATAATTCTGAATTCAGGTATTTAATATAATAATTCTAGTTTTGTCTCAATAGTGGCCTTGTTCGGTTGTGTTTTTGTTTTCTATTTTTGTTTTTCAGAAACACAAAACACTTGTTTGGCAAATTGTTTCTAAAAACAATATGATTTTTAAGGAAATATCAAATAGTTAATGAATTTTTGAAAATTATCGTGCACAAAAATGAAAATGATGAAGAAAATGAACGCACAGCCAAACAGGCCTCAGATATTAGGAAATAGGTCCAATAATATATATATATATATATCAAGTTAACAATACTCACTTTTTGTATTTTCATTTTTATTTTTTGGAAAACACAAGTTTTGCTTGGCAAACTGTATCCGAAGACTTATTTTTGAAAAAATTCTGTGAAAATAACTAATTTTGTAGGAACATCAAAAGGTTGTTCTTTGAATTTTTAGAGACTTATTTTTCACACAAAAATGAAAGTAATCAAAACGATGAGTGTTTTTATTTTATTTTAAATTTCACTGTCTTGTCTTCTTTTTTTTTTTAAGTACAAAAAATGAAAATGAAGAGAACAAAAGCTAAACAGACTAATTTAATATTGGTGCATGAACATAGACAGAACATAGTAAACAATGACAGAGATATAAGAGTAACAAGACCTGATCTCAAGATTTCCTACAGCATAACTTCTGATATCATGTCAAATCACTTGTTCCAAAAATTTGAACTGTTAGGAAATGGATGGAATAATGTATAAGCTAAGCCTAAACATAAATGCTCTCTTCTTATGCCTATTTCCAAGCATATGCATTCATATATTTGGCTGAGAATTTGCTTTTACTTATCTTCTTTTTAGTGAAACACTGCAAGAATATGGGAGCAAAATGACAGAACTATCCAAGAAAATTGTGAAGATTGTGTTGATGACCTTGGGAGATGATTTTGAAAACAAGTTCAATGACTCTGAGTTCAACAACTGTCATGGGTATTTGAGGATAAACAACTATTCGCCTCCACAAATCTTGGAAGAAGAAGAAGAAGAAGAGGTTGAGGGTCTTGGAAAACACACTGACATGAGCTGTGTAACAATTGTGTATCAAGATGAGATGGGTGGTCTCCAAGTGAGATCAAAAGATGGCCGTTGGATCGAAATGAATCCTTGTGAGGGCACACTTGTGGTGAATGTGGGTGATATGCTTGAAGCTTGGAGCAATGGAAAGCTGAGATCATCTGAGCACAGAGTGGTGTTGAAGAAGCCAGCGAACCGGTTTTCTTTGGCTTTCTTTTGGTGTTTTGAGGATGAGAAAGTGGTGTTGGCACCTGAGGCAGTGGTTGGGGAAGGGAATGAGAGGGTTTATAGGCCATTTGTTTGCTCTGACTATTTGAAATTCAGAGAGACCAATGAGGAAGGAAAATTTGAGAAAGTTGGATTTACTGTTAAAGATTTTGCTGGGATTAATGGTAGATGAAATAGTTATCTACTACCATTTGTTGTTGTGAATTAAGGTTCAAAAAGTGGGATTTGTGTTGAGCAATTCTAATAAGGTTCTTGTGTATGTGGTGGGTCGATTGCCTCGTAAACGTAGTGGTTAGAGCTGATTAGACCTTTGCATGTTACAATCGACATTGTTTCATCTTTGTCAATCACAATTGCATTGCTGTTAATCTCATATTGCCGATCACTTTTCTGGGCTGCCAATCTTTTGATCATGAGTTTAAATTCACCTCCCACAGTGTTGGTCCTAGACCATAGGGACATGGTGATTGTGATTATATTTGATGATCTTTTTCTTGTTTTTTTTGTCTCAAGTTACATTTTTATTATATAATAATTTTTTTAAAATTTAATTATTCTATTATAATCGTGTGGTGCAAAGAAATTTTGAAAATGACACAAGACACATCTTAATTGAGGATCCTTTTAATGTTTGAGTGGAAGATGAGAAAGATTAGTATAATTGAAAATTTTGGTAGTTGAGTTTGGAGGGTTTTGACTTGTTGGTAGAAAATAGATAATAACAGAAAAATGTTGTACAGTTCGAATTCCAACTTCCAACCTAATCATATGTGTTTGTTATTGTTGTCTCCTATATACTTAATGCATGTGTGATGTATTTCATATAACGGATATAGATTCTAGAATAATAGCCAACTCTAGAAGCATGTAAGTTTGCTTCTCTTCACTTTCTTCCAGCTCATGCTCCATAATGGGAATGCTTTGATCAAGAAATCTTCTCCCTTTCACAAGAAAACATCAAATCAGTCTTACTCAAATTTTTAAATTTAGTAGTTAAAGTTCATTTACTTAATATGTGTTTGAATTTAGAGAGATATGTGATTGGACAGTTATCGTAAGAATATTACATCATTTTATGGTGTTAGTTATTTCACTTTGTAGTAAAGGTTACGAATTCACGAATCTATGTTGTGCACTTCTAAAGTGAAATTGACAAACCATTGTGGTTACGTTATGATCAGTGTAGTGTAAATTTTAAGAACCATTTCTGATAAGAAACGTTATGAAACTTGTGGTGTTCATTAAAGAACATTTGTAATTATATTACGTCCGTTGTAATAAGATGTATACAACATATGTTTGTATTTAAAAATACATACCGTAACAGTTTCTCAAAAGTAATTATGCACTTTGTAAACAATAACACTAGGAACCTCTCCAATTTACTTGAATATTTACGAACTGTCTACATGCCAGCTCACCTCAAAGTGAAGGTTTTTAAGGAAAAAAATAGCATTCCAATTAATTAAGTTATCAATGCACATAAATTTTTAAGTAAATTGGGGAGGTTCCTTAGACTTATTACTTTGTCAAAAAACAAAATACCTAAAGTCAAGTATGTAGCAATTTATTTTCTCCCAAACCTAATTCAATGAGGATTAAATTGGCATAGTGATGTTCAGTTATCTAGAAGATCTCTCTAATGAGGGACTCATGAGTGGTAGGGTCACCAAATTCCCTTGATTAGATGGGACCAAGCGATCAAATGATCCTTAGTGTTTGCATTAAATTTTTGTTTTTGTTGATTATGTGATGTCTACTTATTAAATGAGTAGTACAAATATTAAAATTTACTAGGTAGCAATATATGATTGGCTATCCTAATTAAATTAAAAATGTGTGAAATGCATCAAACTTATTTTACAGTATTAGTTAAACAAGGTTGTTCCTCTGCCCTAAATGTTTTTATAGTACACGATGTGTTAAAATAATTAAAAATTGGTGCGTCAGAAAAGCATGAGAATATTTAAAATGAGAAGTCTAACAAATGAGAACATAATATCTTAAGCTTTTATAAATGTAAATCATTAGCACACATCACATGCTCTTAACTTAGATTTAGGGAATTCATCATATATATGATTTAATTAATTCTTTAATGGCCATCCATCATTGGTTGCAAAATTAATGGGAACTACATTAAACAATGCCTAAAGTTGGCAACTTGTTTATTTCTACAGATAAATTTTAAATAAAACACTCCCAACTTAATCATCAATTTGTGACATGGTCAACTTGCCCCAAAAAACACTTTAATCAACATCTATAGATAAATTTATGGGCATGCAACCATAACATTTGAAAAAAAAAAAAAAACCCTAGTTGCAAAACTAATACAAGAATAAAATGTTAATCAATTGCACTGCCAACCTTTCAATATTGAACTTTCTTACATAGTTAAATATCGAATATGATATAACTATAATAATATTTGTAAATTATCTCCGATTGATTGACTATAAAAAATCAATAGTCTTATGTCCCAATCAAGTGGAGTTAATTAAATGAATATTTTTTTTGTCATTCTGCTCGGGTCAAAGGCTATATGATCTGTCAATAGCTAACCAATAATATAAAAAAATCAACTAGTTGTTATGTCTTATATTATACTCTGTCTTCCTAACTTAGTGGTGTCACAGTTTTTTGAGATTGAAGGGATTGAAATTTTGAATGTTGACTGCCTAATTGCTTATAAAACAATGGTGTTATGATTCATAAGCTTGGAATCTTTGGGACATATTTAGGCATTATTTTTAATTCAAAAATCCTCATGGGTAGTCCAACAGTTAAGAGAGCAAGTAAACTATGGGATGAGTCCCAAATTCAAATATTTTGGATTCAACTCTTGTTAGCGTCTCCCAGATTTAATCGATACCCAAGATTTGTAGGTAATTGCAAATATCCAATGTTTACTCTAAAGAGTGAGTCCAAAGAGGTTTGCCTCTGAGAAATTTCCTCATCATCAAAAATTACTTTCAACTCAGAATTGTGAGACATTAATACAGGTATAGCAATTCAAGTCTTCTCATAAATCTACTACAGATCAACAAATGGAAAATCAAAAAATGTTTACAGTCACAACAGAAACATTACTACCAAAATAGACTAACTCAACTTCAAATATAGAACTAAAGTTTTATAGATTTTTTCTAAAAACAACCCACTGTCTTCGCACAAAACACAAAACCATATGAAAAAGATTCGTGTTTTTTAACTTTCATTGTTTTTGTTTCCAAAAATGTGAAAAATGAAAACAAAAACACAAACAGGCAGATTTTAATTAAAAGACAAATATCAATGTGCCAGAATGAAGTGAATAATAGTGATGCTGCAAATCCTAATGACATGGAACTGAAAGGCAGATACTAGACAAATTAGATCCAAACACAAATTCACTGATAAAGTGGCCGGTAGGTTAGACAGTTAAAGGAGTGCTTTTCAACATGTAGATCAGAAAACAAGACTGACCAAGTTGTGCAATGATACAAGAGTTATACAACAACTGAAAGAAGCAAACTCAATGCAAGATTTGGGTTCTCTAACACTTGCCAGCAATAGTTGAAAGCGCTTGCTTAATCATCCTTGCTGATGCCACTGCCGCTCCTCGAAACTGAAACAAATGCTCGAACTTCAAAAATCATGCACCAAATTCAAGGAAGAATGACTTCCATGACCACTATGTAGGGATATAAGTTGTGTTGTGTTATTTTTGAGTTCATGTCTAGCTCGTGTCATGTTAGTTTTATTACGTGGTCCCATTGGGAAGGGGTAGGCTCTGGGTTGAGACAGTCCTATTTTACATAATTTTTATTTAGCTAGATGGGATTACATTAGCGCTTCAAACATGTCATTAAAATGTGCAACTAATCCTCCATTTAAAAAGTTATCCATGTCTAATTTAAATTACATGGGTTTGACACCAATCCAGCCTGTTTATTTTGTGCGTTATCATGTTGTATTACTTTTGCATTTGTGTTCATAACTAGCTAACCCTAACCCGCCAACTTCGTGCCTGGTTCGCGTTGTGTCAAAAATCTTCACCCTTACCACTACGAAAGAGGAGGGTTGTTTCAAAAGACAGTTGTACAAACCTTAGATTGAAGGGTGACAGTGAGAATGCCATCGACAGTTGAAGATTGAACTGAGTGAGCATCTAAGTTGAGATTGTTCATAACATCAATGATGTCAAGCAACAAGTACTCCCTCCATGGACATCTCATTTCAATCACAACCTCATGCTCTTTCACATTGACTTTCATGTCTAAAATTGGCCCATTTTTAGGTACAACGCTGCTGATCAGCTCTGGTTCTGTTTCACCAATATCACTAGCCTTCCTCTTGTTCATCCAAGGTTTCTTGCTATTTTCAATCCTCCTATTTTCATAGTTATCGGATGTCTGCTCTACCACATCCGGGTATTTTCTTCTGCCTCTTGCTTCATGATCGGCAAAGTCAACGCAAGATTCCAATTCTTCTACCCTTGCTTCAAGCTCTTTCAAGTATTCTATTGCCTCACCCAAGATTGATGCTTTATCAATCTGCATAACACGAGTAAGAAGAGTAACTAAGACAAATTTTTCGACATCATCTTTGTTTCACAATATCTTTTGTTTGAGTAGCGAAGACACAGTGATATGATGGGGAACACAGATACCCTTTCACCAAGAACAATTTACAAATTTTGAGAAAATGTCACTAATCTTGTCTACATGAGTAAAAATCAGCAACAAAAAAGTATTTGCAGAAACTGAATGTGATAAGTCCAGAAAATTTAAGTGTTTTTTATTATTATTTAGAGTATTGGTTATAATTAAGAAATTTAGCAAAGTAAATTGTATAGATGGATAGAACTATCTAGGGGGTGGAGCCAAGTTGCTCCAAGTTGCTCTAGAAGGGAAAGGGGGGCGGGGAAAGAAAAACAAAGGTTAAAATTGAAGGACAACAAGAAGCAGAGGACAAATGTAAAATAAAATTTATAACATGGGTAAAATTTAGTATTTTTTGAACTCTAGGTGTGGGCGTTTATTTTATTTTTTTTAAATCTAGGTAAAAATGCACTTTTCCAAAAGTCAATGGGGGCAACTGCATGCCACTCGCCCCTTCTTGGCTCAGCCAGTAACCAAACACTAAATTTGAAAAAGTAGCCTATAATTCACGACTACTCAAATCTAGAGAATGGTTAAAATTGCAAGAAATATAAAAGGAAATGTTAATTCCCATCACACGAAGGTTAACATATTTTCCAATGGATGGCAGTTGAATTACCTTGCTAATAGAAGGAACCATTGACCTGAGGACCAAAAACTTCTCATCCTCCATTCTCTTTTCCGGAAAAGCACATTGTACATAGATCTCATCACTTTCTGGTTTCAAAAGCCCATCATTTCTTCCATTTTGTTGTTGAGACTTCAGTGAAGAACAACCGTGCATTAAAGGGACATTAAACAAAATCATTTTCAACATTTTCTGCAGCACTCGTGGCCTATGACCGTTAAAGATTTCACCTTTTTTCCAACTCACAAAGCTGGAGCCACTGCCTCTGACACACAGATTGTCAAGAAACAGATGAGAATTTTTCAGAACAGCGGAGAGAGTTCTTTTGTAGTGCAACTCATCATCGGTTCCAAGGTCCAATGAGCTAAGTTTCGTGTCATTGCGTTCTTGAAGTTCTTTCAAATGACTGTTATTCATGTTTTCACCATTGGGATGAGAAATAGAAATACCCTTTTCTTGATTCACAAAAACTTGAGATATACAGTCGCTAGAGTTCACGGAACCTTGAACACAGTTACTAAAATCATCGTCCATGAAATGCCAGCTCTGAACTTGTGAAGCTGATCCGCCATTAATTCCTTCGAGCAAGAACGAGTCCTCTGTCTGGTGATTGTGCTCACACCCATTTGAACAGTCATCGGGAGAACCCATTGTGAAATCATCCTGGACATTTCCATCAATTTCATTTAGTCCCTCTTGATCAAATCTGATTTCTTCTTTCGGGGAATAGAAATTTTCCAAAGCCATTGTGTTTGCTATCTCATGATCGACCTTGGCATACACGCAGTCTGCGTCGCCATCTCTGTTATGAGGAGTAGACGAAGATTTCTCAGAGCAATCGGGCTTTGAAAACTCTAATAAAGAAGCCTTGATGTGCTGAATGAGGCTAGGGTCCTCTAATACCTTAAGACAAAACATAGCAGAATTACTTTTATTCATACCAAAAAAAATACATATCCTGTAAGAAAATAGTAGCATTACTAGATTTAGAATGAAAATTACCAGATCAGTCACGCCAAGCTCAATGACACCTCCCAAATAGGGAAAACATATAACAGTCTGCAAAAAACAATGGTCATTGTCAAAATTGATATTTGTGGTAGAAATGTTCAAACTGAAATGTCATCTAGAAATGTTTAGCCTGTTTGGTTCTGTTTTCATTTTTTGTGTTTTCAAAACAAAACAATTTCCAAAAATTCTAAAACAATTTGTGTTGCTGCTGTTGTTGTTGCTGTATTTTTTGTATTGTTATTTCCAAAAAAATAGGTTTCCCAAAAACTGTTTTCAAAAACATTTCACCAAACAAGTTGATTAGTTTTCTAACATCAATGCATCTAGCTATGAATGCAAGAGGAAGAATATGGTTACAGGATTAAGATGATTTGTCAAAAAAAAGTGTTCTTCCTTGTATGTTTCCTATAAATTTAGGCAGGCTAATATGCAAAAGGTTAAATCTAATGGCAACTAAACTGAACATATTTTTTTAGACAAGGGGATAAAAAAAAAAAAGAGAGAGTATTTAGTAAGTTGTTTTATTAATTATAAAAAGCTCTTGCATAACACAGTTTTATAGACTGTGTCAAGGTCTAAACCCGTGCACACACCAAAGGGAATTCAATCAACAGGACTTCCTTCTCCTAATTTTCTGCCCATGTGTGTAATTTTAGATGATTCTTTCGAATAGAGAGATTGTTATACCTGAATAGATGCACTCTGAGGCCGATGATGGTGCACGTTCAATCATTTTGAAACGGAAGCAAATGATACAATTACAGTTAGTTGTTGGACTCAAAGCAACTTGACAAGTATAAAGTGTATTGACTAAAATGTCCCAAATCTAAAATAGCTCCAGGAGAACTGACCTTTGCTAGCAGAGAGCGAGAAAATACTTTGCTATCAGCAGAATGAGCATCGCATAACCAGATGGGCTGATCATTCGCTAATGCTCTTCCTGGCAAACTATGCAACAATGTGGTGGAACATTGATCATGATCATAGTATCATAGTATGAAACATACACAAATAATAGAAATAATAAGTAGCCAATGTTCACGGTTTCCATTTGGACATACGTGAAATTTTACTCCAATGTATTTTGCATGTTATTCTACTTCATATTTCAAGAATGGGGGATTTTATCATGATTCATGACAGTTACTTTTTTCTGCAGCGGCTGTTTCTGTTTTCATTTTCTACCTTCGAATGCTTTGTAAAACATTATGTACACTTTAATTTTCATAGTTCACAATAAATAAGTTGTAAAACAACTAAAAATATGATGACATTTGGATCAATGGAAGAGAGTTAGTACCCTTGGCCCGGGTTGAACACAAAGGACATGCAAACCAAGTAATACCACTCTGCATCGGTGAGATCATCTGGTGACAATGCAGCAGAAGGCCTCTTAGCTTGTTGATCGGTTTCACCCTCTAAGAGACACTCGTAGAGCTCTCTCAGTTGTTCGCTCCTCCGCAAGCCCATTTTGTCTGCTTTAAGTTCCATGGCTTGGACTGTTTTCCGTGTCTTAATTTCTCCATTGTAGTACCCTTCACCCCATTCCAATACCCTTAAAAATGTTTATAACACCAAATTTTGTCAAAGTCAGCATGAGGATTGTGAATGTTATGCAGAAATCAAATGGCTCCAATCACAAAACAATAAAGAAAAACAAAACAAAAACACAGAACACTAAGACATACGTGATTTGGCAGTATGCCTAAGTCAATGAAGAGGAGGATATCAAATCCACTACGCGGAATAAGAATTATAGAGCTCAGAACCTCTCAACTCAACAGCTCTATAAAGTTGTCACACTCTTACACTGAAACCCGAGCCAAAAAATATAATAAATACTCCAAAACTTTGGCTCCAGTCTTTGACCGTTAGTAAAATGCCCTTTCTAGTAAATATGATTATACAGTAAAAATGCAAGACACCTCACAACAGTGAATGTAAAAGGAATGTGTATGGACTGTATTGAGTAATAGAGTGCTAGTTGAGTCAAAGGGAAGTAGTTGGGGTATAGGCTTGCACTTTCACATCAAAGGAAATTGTTAAGTTTTCCTTGAAAACCATTTTCCTTTATCTAGTGTGAAGTTATTTTGCTTTCCATTTCTTGCAATCCCTTTCCCTTCAAGCATTTTTTCACCCTTATTAAGGGAAATCTTTCCCCTCATATGAGCTAAACATCATGAAGGAAATATAAAACTTCATACACAGCGAAAAATAATATAGATTCAGGCATACCTTGTGGGTAAACAGATTGCCCAATGAATCTAGCTTATAAAGTGAATAACAAACTCTTGAATAATCTCCACAACAATGGAATAAAACTACTAGAGTTTTACCCACACCAATCACAGAAAAAAGCAATATGGTTTATGGGAACAAAGAACATATATTTTTTGTTGTTATCAAATATAGGAGAGTTAGGAGACCCATAGGATAAATGCATTATCCCATATAATGTCCATTCTATATCAAGAATATCTAATTAATAATTATCATATAATATATATTTATATATTGACAATTATCCCATATCAAAATTATCCGATATGTTGAAATATAATCTGTTATATCATTTGGATCTTTCCTAATCAGGTCATGCTACCATGGGCCACCCAATTAGGTCCGGGTTCTAAACCCGGACCAATTTCCAACACATTAAGAGGTGTTTGGTAGAATGTTTTCCACATTTTCTGGCGTTTGTTATGACAGTTTTCCATTCAACACAAAAAAATGAGCTGATTGGGATGGAAAATGTTTTCTAAACCTAAAGCCATCACCACTACCGTCACCTCCTCCATGATCACCCTACTACCACCACCCCTATCACCACTACCACAACCAACACCATTTTAGTGTCACAACTAAACGCAGGAAAACAATTTAAAAATGTTCTTTGCTGAAACAAACAGAGCATTAGTAGAAATATACATTAATTACTAAAAAGTAAGGATCTGAGATCTGAAACAACATATAATGATGGAACGCAAGTACAAGCATATTTGGTAAATTTTAAGTTACGTATACCAAATATTTAAAAATAATAGTTTGTGCTGCAGAACCATAAATTTATGCAAAACCAGCCATGGAAATCAAAGAAAGGCACTGTCTGATAAATACTAGACAGATAATTAAAATACCAAAAGAAATTAAAATCTTTACCCTTCTTGTTTGGTTGACAGTGACCAAAAAATTGCATAACTCCACTGCACACTCCTCACAGCAACAGCAAGCTGCATTCTCAGATTTTCTGGCACCCCCTCTTGGTTTTGTACCCCATTAGCCATTGCCCAACACATAACCCTAAAAAATTAGCTCAAATAAATTAAAACTCAGTTGATCAAAAGTCAAAATATGCATAAAAAAAACTCAGTTGGAAGGAGAATTTGGGATTTTCTTGATGTGAACAGAGACTTTTAGCTCTGACCCAGAAGGGTTTGTGGCTTTCAGAGAGTGAATGAGGTATATTAATTGGTTTCTGGTCAAGAATCCATGATGAAGAACCAGCCAAACACAGCTCAAAACACACTATTGAGCTCTCTGAGACACAAAACCAGCAAAACCCAGAAAACTTATGGTGAAGGACCAGTCCAGTGGGCCCCTTTGGTTCTACAAAAAAACATATTAAAAAATAAAATAATAAAAACCCATATTTTAGAAATCACTAAAATACATATATATATTTTTTTTAATTTTAAAAAACTGTTTCCATACAAAAATAAAATCGATATGAAAATTATGTGTGTTTCCCAACCTTTCGTTGTTGGGTTTTTGAAAACACAGAAAATGAAAATGAAAACAAATTCAAACCAAACAAGATCACAAAAGAAACTGACTCTGGGAAATCTTTCCTGAGATGAGTTTCTTGTTTTCTACACTTTTGCCACAATTCAAGATCAGAATTTGCCTCTTGAGTCCATCAGAATCAGAGCATTTGCTTTAATGGTAGGGGGTGAAAGTATAACGGTAGGTAGAGAAATACTTCTATCATCAGCTTTCTATTAATTTTTCTTGTTTGGGAGCTCTTAAAAGCATTTCCTTTTTGACTCAGATCAGTGGGTTTTTTTTTTCATACAGCAAAAAGCTGAAATTTGGGTCCCTCAAAAAATAAATATAAGGGTAAATTACACTGACATCCTTAAAATTTAGTCTAATTACATCTTATCCTTTGATGTTTTAAAAATTATATTTTCATCCTTATAATTAATAGTATCATTTTGCAATTCTTACTTATACAAAAGATAACAACTCTTAATAGATAAATAAAAAAAATTACATTTAAAAAAAATAAAAGAAAAGAAAAGAAAATAGAGAAAATAAGGCAAAGTAAAAAAAGAGATAGTACATAAATTTAATATTTTTATTTCGTTTAAATAATTATAATGATAAGAGTTAATATAATTTTTCAAATATTAAAGAATAATATGTATTAAATTCAACTTAAGGAGGCGTAAGTGTTATTTACCCTAAAAATAAATACGGTCATTTGTCAGGTTCATTGGACATATGTTTCAGTGGAATTGGTTTAAATGATTGTGAAAGCAGAGAAAATAATTTCTAGATTTGTGAAGTCACTTCATTTGTCATAATTTCTTAATGTAAAATGTGCAGGTTTGGTGCCGCTTAAAAGCTGCTTATTTTAACTTTCAGCTTAATTTAAATTATTTTGATATGTTTGGTTTAGCTTAACAATGCAGCTTATAACTTTTTGTAAGTCAGAAATCAGCTTATTCTTTTAGTGGGGCAGGAGATGATTAATTTATAAGTCAAAAATCAACTTATGCTCATAGTTATAAGTTATAAGTTTTTAAGGCATAAGCTATAAGTATTTTCCCACAGCTCTACCAAACAGGACCAATATGTTGTTAATAATTTCCTATAAACGTTTCAGTGGAATTCGTTAGTGTCGTTCCGGAAGTGAATTGGCTTTTCAATTTTTTAATTTTTTTTTGATTATTTTAATTTGAGATTAAAAAGTTTAGTTTGTGAAATTTTTTTTGATTTTTTTGACTTTTTGGCAAGTGTCCACATGTTAAATGACCGAACCATCCTTGGTGTTTCACATTTCCACTCCTAACCGTCCTTTCTTCACGTAAGCGTCATTTTACTTTTGTTGTTTTTTTTTTTCTTTTTTTGGATGAGGCGTATTTTACGATTCATTTGTTTTAATTTATATTTTTGTTATTTATTTTTTTTATATATATTAATTTGTTTTTATTTTTCAAAAATGATTTTTCATATGTTTCATTTATTTTTAAATTATTTGGCAAATGCTAATTTCTGTTTTTCATATATATATATATATTTTTGATGAGGCATATTTTTCTGGTTTTTTTTTTAATTCATGTTTTTATCATTTTTATTTTTATTTGTATACATTAATTTGTTTTTATTTTTCAAAAATAGTTTTCCATGTGTTTCATTTATTTTTAAATTACGTGGCAAATGCTAATTTCTGCTTTTCATATATATATTTTTTTTCGATGAGGCGTATTTTTCTGGTTCTTTTTTTTTTAATTTATGTTTTTGTCATTTTTATTTTTATTTGTATACATTAATTCGTTTTTATTTTTCAAAAATAGATTTTCATGTATTTTATATATTTTTAAATTACGTGGCAAATGCTAATTTCTGTTTTTAATTTTTTTTTTTCGATGAGGCATATTTTTCTGGTTCTTTTTTTTTAATTTACGTTTTTAACCCATTTTTATTTTTATTTGTATACATTAATTTGTTTTTATTTTTCAAAAATGGGTTTTCATGTGTTTTATTTATTTTTAAATTACGTGGCAAATATTAATTTATATTTTTTTTTTGATGAAACGTATTTTTCTGATTCTTTTTTTTATAATTTACGTTTTTAACCCATTTTTATTTTTCATTGTATACATTAATTTGTTTTTATTTTTCAAAAATAGGTTTTCATGTGTTTTATTTATTTTTAAATTACGTTGCAAATGCTAATTTTTGTTTTTAATATTTTTTTTTCGATGAGGCGTATTTTTCGGGTTCTTTTTTTTAATTTACGTTTTTGTCATTTTTATTTTTATTTGTATACATTAATTTGTTTTTATTTTTCAAAAATGGGTTTTCATGTGTTTTATTTATTTTTAAATTACGTGGCAAATGCTAATTTCTGTTTTAAATTTTTTTTTCTCGATGAGCCGTATTTTTCTGGTTCTTTTTTACGTCTTTAATCCATTTTTATTTTTATTTGTATACATTAATTTGTTTTTATTTTTCAAAAATGGATTTTCATGTGTTTTATTTATTTTTAAATTACGTGGCAGATACTAATTTCTATTTTTAATTTTTTTTTTTTTTTGATGAGGCGTATTTTTCTGGTTCTTTTTTTTTAATTTACGTTTTTGTCATTTTTATTTTTATTTGTATACATTAATTTGTTTTTATTTTTCAAAAATGGTTTTTCATGTGTTTTATTTATTTTTAAATTACGTAGCAAATGCTAATTTCTGTTTTTAATATTTTTTTTTTCGATGAGGCGTATTTTTGTGGTTCTTTTTTTTTAATTTACGTTTTTGTCATTTTTATTTTTATTTGTATACATTAATTTGTTTTTATTTTTCAAAAATTGATTTTCATGTGTTTTGTTTATTTTTAAATTACGTGGCAAATGCTAATTTCTATTTTTAATTTTTTTTTTCGATGAGGCGTATTTTTCTGGTTCTTTTTTACATTTTTAACCCATTTTTATTTTTATTTGTATACATTAATTTGTTTTTATTTTTCAAAAATGGATTTTCATGTGTTTTATTTATTTTTAAATTACATGGCAAATGCTAATTTCTGTTTTAAATTTTTTCTTTTCGATGAGCCGTATTTTTCTGGTTCTTTTTTACATTTTAACCCATTTTTATTTTTATTTGTATACATTAATTTGTTTTTATTTTTCAAAAATGGGTTTTCATGTGTTTTATTTATTTTTAAATTACGTGGCAAATGCTAATTTCTATTTTAAATTTTTTTTTTTCCAAAGAGCCATATTTTTCTGGTTCTTTTTTACATCTTTAATCCATTTTTTTTTTATTTGTATACATTAATTTGTTTTTATTTTTCAAAAATGGGTTTTTATGTGTTTTATTTATTTTTAAATTACGTGACAAATGCTAATTTCTGTTTTTAATATATTTTTTGTTCGATGAGGCGTATTTTTCTGGTTCTTTTTTTTTAATTTACGTTTTTGTCATTTTTATTTTTATTTGTATACATTAATTTGTTTTTATTTTTCAAAAATGGGTTTTCATGTGTTTTGTTTATTTTTAAATTACGTGGCAAATGCTGATTTCTGTTTTTAATTTTTTTTTTTCGATGAGCCGTATTTTTCTGGTTCTTTTTTACATTTTTAACCCATTTTTATTTTTATTTGTATACATTAATTTGTTTTTATTTTTTAAAAATGGGTTTTCATGTGTTTTATTTATTTTTAAATTACGTGGCAAATGCTAATTTCTGTTTTAAATTTTTTTTTTCCAAAGAGCCGTATTTTTCTAGTTCTTTTTTACATCTTTAATCCATTTTTATTTTTATTTGTATACATTAATTTGTTTTTATTTTTCAAAAATGGATTTTCATGTGTTTTATTTATTTTTAAATTACATGGCAAATGCTAATTTCTGTTTTAAATTTTTTTTTTCCGAAGAGCCGTATTTTTCTAGTTCCTTTTTACGTCTTTAATCCATTTTTATTTTTATTTGTATACGTTAATTTGTTTTTATTTTTCAAAAATGGATTTTTATGTGTTTTATTTATTTTTAAATTACGTAGAAAATGCTAATATCTGTTTTTAATATTTTTTTTTCGATGAGGCGTATTTTTCTGGTTCTTTTTTTTTAATTTACGTTTTTGTCATTTTTATTTTTATTTGTATACATTAATTTGTTTTTATTTTTCAAAAATGGTTTGAAAATATTTTATTTCTTTTTAAATTACGTGGCAAATGCTAATTTCTTTTTTTTTCTTTTTTTTTGGATGAGGCGTATTGTTGATGTTCTTTTTTTTTTAATTTACGTTTTTGTCATTTTTATTTTTATTTGTATACATTAATTTGTTTTTATTTTTCAAAAATGATTGTTCATGTGTTTTCTTTATTTTTAAATTATGTGGCAACTGCTAATTTATATTTTTATTTTTTATTTTTTTTACTTTGTTTGCTTTTTTTTGGAAAAAGGTTTTTTCATGTGATTTATTTAAAATGAGAGGGGGTTAGTTTCGTAAAATCACTCTGGCCTGGGTTGTATCATCACCACCTAAAGGCCTTTTGTCTGGTAGTGGCTAAATTAGCCTACTTTGGACGGTAGTAGCTAAAATAGTCCAAAACTGTCTTCCCAAACCATGCCTAAATGATGGTGAAAGCAGAGAAAATAATTTCCAGATTTGTGAAGTCATGCATTTTTCACATGTTAATAATTTCCTAATGTAAAATATTAAACATATAAAATTTTATAAATAAAAAATTATATTTTCAAAATAGGACACATGATAATAAGCTTTTTGATTTCCATAAAAATGAGATATATGATTCTCTATGGATTTTTGTGGGTGACGTTAATAACCCTACATTTATTTGAACGCACATTTATAAAATTTAAATATATACTATTATAAAAGTATAAATAGTTATATATATATATATATATTTTTAATTTTAATTTTACCTTTTCAAATTTATTATATTTTTTAAAAGTCATGAAAAGTCTTATATAACTCAATTATCTCTTTATTTTTAGAATTGAACCCTAAAAAATAATATATCTGTTTGCAAGAGTCCTATACCCCGTTTGTTTCCAGAGATGGAATGGAGGGGATTGATAGTGAGGGGATTAATAGTGAGGGGATTAACAAACTGTCTCCCTTCTTATCCCAAAAAAAAAAAAAAAGTCTCTTTATTTTTTACATTGATGATAATTGAAGAACAAAAAATAAATACTCTTTCTTATTTCATGTGTCTGCTTCTATACTGATATACATAATATTTACGATCAAATCACCATAAATAATTTTGATTGAG